GACGACTAGTAGAAAATGCACTCATTTATATATTGGTTCGTACACCCATTTTGATTATAATTAGGATGAAATCACATATATGAAAATACTTAGAGTTATAACAAATCACATACAGAGCATAGTTCATGTTAATTAAATACAAGAATATCGTATATTATACAGAATAAAATATCATACGAGAAAACAAAACCGAATACGACACTGAATAATTATCACATTGAATCAAAACAGAAGTAATGTTGAACAAAACTCATAATTAGTAAATCAAACGAATTTTGACTTTTCTTCCCGTTGTACCATTAAGGAACACTTTGTGATATTTGATCCCAAAGAATAACTATTTTTTTAGCTTCTTATATCTTTTGATGTATGCTACCCTGAAAATTTTTGAATGAATGCCAAAAATCTCATTCACATTGATGTTCATTAAACTATTTGAAATTTTCCATAAATATGGTACCTTAACAACAATACTATAAGTATATATATATATATATATATATATATATATATATATATATATATATATATATATATATATATATATATATATATATATATATATATATATATATAATTATTATATGATATTGTAAAAGTTATCTTTTTATAGCAAACAAACTTTTCACAAAAAATAGCTGATGTCATTCCAAAATGTAAGAAAACAAATGAATATTTAATAAATACTTCTTAAAATAAACTCATTCATGGTAATGAGATCTATGGAAATTTTGCAGGATTCAACGGATAGTCTAAACCGAAATTTAACCAATATTACCTAGTATCAAGAACATGAGTGGGATTGTTATGCTTAAAAAGTATTTAGTAATAAAGGATACGAAACTTATGGGATTTTTATTAAAAAGTAGCATTGAAGTTATGGGTAGAATAAAAGTATATGTTCAGTATTTTCTTGTATATATACGAAGTGACCACTATATCTCGAAGTAACCTCATTGAAATCGGTTAGACTAGTGTTATAACACTTGGCACCAAAAAAATGCATTTTTCACAGCTTTATGCTTTTAAATGAAAAATGATTCAGTATTTTCAGACCGTTGAAATAAACAAGTGAACTTATATTACACCAAGTACGCGAAACTAAAGCTGATCTATAATAATTAATGAAATAGCTAGTTTAATTTATCAATTTTATATGAACGTAGATGTTAGAAAAATATGATTTAAAACCTATTAGATTATATATTTGTATTGTTAAATTAAATACACTGTACAACATTTACTTGTACAAGCACTGGTTAAATTACATATCTTAAATTTTATTAAGCACTTCTGCTTTGGGTTTAAAGAGTTTTATTTAGGATTTGATATCATTCAGTTATAATTTAGAGGGAAAAAAGCAAACTGTGCTTTGAAATTGAAGTCTGACATACGGTAACTATTTATATAAGAATGTTCTTGTTTGAAGACGTTACATTATGCATCCACTTAGTAATTTTCAACATGATTCAAGATACTATATATATATATATATATATATATATATAATATATTATATATATATATATATATATATATATATATATATATAAGCCGTATGTATATTCAATTAGATTACATGCATACATTAATTCCGAACTTTATTGACCAAAGAAGAAATAAAGAAATATTTAAGGTTATATAACAGTATAAATTTTGTTACTGAAGAATACTTATGTAACCAAATTAATGAGTAGTTCAATGAAAGTTCTTACTGCCTAGAAGGGATCATTTCCAGAGTACACAAAACCCATCTTAATTTTTATTTTATGATGGTGATCAACTTTATGGAATAAACTGGTTTTTTTCCGGAATCATGAACAACTGATTCTGTACTAACGTTCATTTGTCATGACAATTATATCACAGAAAAATAAAACAAATAATAAACAACAACACTAATATATTCCACTCAAATGGTAGGTGTCTAAATGATTTTAAAAAATAATATCCATAGTTATAAAAAATTAAAGAGGGAATTTTCGAGTGTGATTTTTAAACACAACAAATAAGAATGCTAAGTCCACATTGATCTGCTAAATTTGATATGGATCACATACAAAATCCTTCCTATCAGATATTCATTTACAGATGATCTACTATTAGTAAATCAGATAAATTAGGAGATCATATATGATGTCCACAGAAATGGTAGGAAATAAAAAATGTCGCTGGAGTTACAAAAGCTTAATTACTGGACATTACTTTTAGATATCATTCAAATTACATCCTTATATATTTACGGAAAACTCATACATAATCAGTTAATTCATCATGCTCAATTAGATAGAATTAAAATTTATACAAGACTAAGACTGGCAATTACGTGATTTTTCCATATTTGTTAAAATAATCCAGAATTATCAGCGTCACTTCCGTCTAAAGATCACTGTATGAAGGTCGCCAAGATCGTTTTGCGAGAACTATAGCATATTAAGGTCATTCTTATCATGAATTGGTGTTAGCTGAACCACCCAGAACTGAAAGTTAACTGACCTCAATTCCAGACGAAAACTACTTTCATACGATAATAACTTCCTACAAGCTTACCTAGCCTCACAACTGCATCCCTGATAGATTTATTTGTATGTCAAACACCTGTCAAATCTAAATCTTATTGGATTATACTTTCAAACATGACTTAACTTCTAAAATATTTATCACATTTTCACAATATCAATGATTTTTCATATGTAGCTTTATAATATTTGATTTTGTGAGATTACTGCCTAATTTAACATACAACTACAAACCTGATATAATAAGTTCTAACAAAAACTAATGGTCTTTATTTAGGAAATAAGTGGCTGATGTTTCAATTAACTTCACTGCTTTATTAGATTGAAACCGTTTGTATACGTTATTCGTTTTAAACAAGTTCGGTAAACATGTATAGGTTATGACATAGTTTAGTGACTAACCAAAACAAGCAGATACGCTGAAGTAAACAAGATTCGTAAGAATGACAGAAAAACTGTCTGATTGTAAGATTAGTACCTCAAGATATGTGAATCAAAAGGAGTCAATGGATGGTCAATTGTTATATGTTGTTGTACCACTAAAACTAGGGTTCGCTTTTGAATCTGGACACACTACTAGTACTTTTCGAAGAATTTCGCTGACAATTTACATTGCTTCCTTGTCGAAGCTTTATGAAATGAATTGTTCTGGTTTTTACAGGGGGAAATTTTTCAATAGTGTTATTTATCTACTAAAAATAGCTTATTGTAGTTATAACGCAATGACAGCGCGAAACAGCATCAAGTTACGGCATTGTTGTTACACAGTCCTGAACAGTAAACCAATCAATTAACAATTAAGTTATTTATTAGCATCTTAATAAGTGATTATTCTACTGTTAGAGCATATAGTCCTTTTCTTTCTGACTCGTTAATAACCTTGTTACGCTTGACCGGTTATTTAATAAGACGGTCATACTTCAAAATGTCACTCAAATCCCAGACATTTGATGTATTACCTCAATACCGTTCAGTATATAAGCCCAAAAATGATACAGGTTATAGTTTAGTGTAAAAAAAAAACACGATAACTACGATCTTGGCAATTGATTAGTCAATTTGAACGAGCTTTAAAATTCCTTTGAGAGAATTAAACATGTTGATAATGATTTACAAATAACGCACACGAGATGCTGGAGTTGTACTCTCAATAGTTAAAAGTGCTTTATCAATTTTGATCATGAGCAAGATTATCCTATTTAAAATGGTAAACATAGATTTGAATAGTAATTCTGTGACCATTCTTTTATAATTTCCCCTCAAGTCGAAAATCAAGTATGTGATGTTGATCAACAACGCCTCACTATATAACTGTAAGATACGATAACTTAGCTAAGTTACTGAGTACTGATCAACTTTATTTGAGAGAGCTAGTGGTACTGTAGTGAACAAAATCTGAGAACCATATAGTAAATCATTAATTTGCAAAATATCAATCCATCATCTCGAACTTGACCGTTACTGTCGCAAACATCAATCCATTGTCTCAGATTTCATTGTTCATGCGTTTTCACACCAATTGTGTTCCGTTCCCGTTCTTTCCTCATCGACCTTCTACTGAAATACACTATATGCCTGACCACCGTTATATACTACTTGTGTGGATATAAGCAACCCACACCACAGTACTAAATAGCCATCCAAACTGAACTAGAAGCAACAATGAAACCTCAAATCTAGTGGTAGGTGTTAGGATGTGCAGAAAAATATACCAATAATTATCATGTTAAGTCTAATGGTGGCCTTGGACTTTAAATGTACACTCCCTATTGGTCAGTATTTATTTCACTTGTTAAATATTGTACAAATGTTGTTTTCTATTTTATGGTACGATGTGGTTTGTTTGATTGGTATATAAACAGAGTATGTTGAAATATAACGATTCATAACTCAGAGGCTGAGACTTGTGTTCCGGACTCGACTGGCTGGGCTAGACAGAGAAGCAGGGACCAATCGGGACTCTAGGCTGCTCGTACGTGTTTACGTGTCATTGGTCCGATCGATAAATACGCTGCCATCTAATCTTCAGTCCAACACGTTACAACAGTAGGTAATTGAACAATTTAAACAGTAAGCCACCTTTTTACACTGTGAGATATATTCTATAATCAAAAAGCCGAAAACAAAAATTTCAAGTCCTTAATCACAAAACAAAGAATACACTTATATTTTGCTTTAAAGTTGAGTTTCGCATGAAATAAAAAAACCAAAAGCAATAGGAAAATAATGAAAGTACACGATCACGAAAAGTGAATAAAACAGAAGAAACAATATAATCACGATACTAAACGAGAAATAATGTTAATAGTCAGCGTAATACATACACGGAAAACACAGTTAAAACAGCACAACATAGAGTAAGATAAATGAGGTTGACATGTTTGTATATCTGAGGTAACTAATAAACAGGAGACATTATGAATCTTTCAAAGTTTTATTGTCCATTGATCAAACATTCTTTTCTATAAGTTGAGTATATAATTAATTCTGTAACTGAAAGATAATAATAATAATATTACTGACGATTTATAATACACAAAAAATGTTCAAAACAGTGTCATTAAAAATTTGAATAGCAAATTACTATTTATAACATTTTATCTTCTTACTTTTGTTGTTGTGAAATTTAAAAATGATTATCTGACAAATAAATTAGCGGAATGTTACACACTGACGGTTTTATACATTCTTAAGATATAAAAAGCAATCTGTAGTTATATTTCAATTTTAAATGTTTTGACAGGAAAAGTCATTCAAATCACTAATCCTAGTAAAAAAGTTATGTAGGAATGAAATAAATGATTACCACTTCAAGTTTTTCGGTGATTATTTCTTAAGCCGATCAGTGAGATTCAAGAACAGTAGAACAGGTGGGTATAGCAATTTAAAGAGCTCTTGAATAAACCAACTCCACTGAAGCAGCACACACAGGAATTCCTATAGATGTCACTCCACCAACGATAGAAGAAATCAGAATGGCCAAACACCACATAAACCAAGAGTGGGAAAGTAGCTGGACCTGACAACATACCAGCTGAAACACTGAAGTCAGAGATAGAAACAAATGCAAACATGCTCCACCTTCTATTCAGGAAGATTTGGGAGGAAGAATAAGTGCTGACAGATGTAAAAGTATATCTCACCAAGAAACCAAAGAAAAAAGACCTTAACACGTGTGGGAACTACAAAGACATCACAATACCATCAGTACTGGGGAATTTTCCAACAGGGTAATGTTGAACCAGATAAGAGATTCAGTGAATGTCCAACTTCGAAATCAACAGGCTAGAGCAATCAGTCAGATGGAATTCCTCACCACACATCAACTTCCTCGAATTTGAGAAAGCATTTCACAGAGTAGATAAAACAACCTGAAGAACCTACGTCGACATTCGGGTGTACCGGAAAAAAATGTCAGCATCATATGGAATTCATATGATGAACTACATTGCAGAGTCGTGAATGTAACGCCACAGTGTCGGATAGGCCTCCTTACTCTCACCCTTTCTCTTCGTTAGAATGGATGACTGGATTACGAAGACTCTCACATCTAAGGGGAAGCTCGGAATGCAATGGATTGCTTGAATGAGTCTAGACGATTTGGACTTCGCAGATGATCTAACTCTTCTATCCAACACATACCGACTGATGCAGATCAAGACAAGCAGTATACCAGCAGCCTCTGTGGTAGTAAGTATCAACTTACACAATGGAAAAACCAAGATCCTCAAATACAACACAGACAGCACCAACCCAACCACATTTGATGGAGAAGCTCTGGAAGAGGTGAAAACTTTCACATACATGGACAGCATTACCAGTGAACAATGGGTATCTGATGTAGATGTAAAGGCGAGGAATGGTAAAGCAAGGGCCGCATTTCTATAATTGAAGAACATATGGAAACCAAAGCAGCTGTCAAACAATATCAAAGTTAGAATCTTCAATACGAACGTCAATATAGTTAGTTTCACTGTACGTAGCTGAAACTTGGAGAACTACTACGACCATCATCAAAAAAATGTACAAGTATTTATAAACAATTGTCTGTCTGTCTGAATGTCCGTTATCCAGATACCATCAGCAACAGCCTACTGTGGGAGAGAACAAACCAACTTCCAATTGAAGAGGAAATCAGTAAAAGACTGTGGAGGTGGATATAACATACATTGCGGAAATCACCAAACTGTATCACGAGGCAAGTCGTAACTTGGAATGCTGAAGGGAATAGAAAAAAATGGCAGACAAGGGAACACATTGATTTGGGAATCGAAGGCGGACACGGAAATAATGAACAGCAATCAAGAACAACCGCGAAGCATTACCCAGGACAGAGTTTCATAGAGAATGCTGATGGGTGATCCATTCTCCTTTATGACAAGTAACGGGTGTAAGTAATTTCGAAGTTTCCGGTGATTATTTCTTAAGATATTTAAGTTACACTTAGTTTATAAAACACTTGAACTAAATCTGTCTGTTATTATGCATAAGTAACATACGGAAACAAATTATACGGTCAATGGTTTTTAGAATGCTAGACGGAAAATTTTTCTAGTCATAAAATAACTTCATCTAACTGTTGCCGTTTTAATTAAAATGGTCAAAGTTGATACGAATTGTAAGACATATTTAATATGTTTTTGTACTCTATTACAGTATTTAAGTATAAGAAAAATCTAAGTACGTGGTAGACACATATTACATATAGAGGCAATTTTTTAATAGTTAAAGCATTTACTCCATTTACGTCACTTGGATACTACCGATAGTTCCCACTTAAAAATATACATGAACTTGTATTCAATTACTAAGTTGTATCAAATTTCACAATTGATTGATCACTGGGTGGTGATCAATCTCATGCTTGTCTAGTCCTTATTAGTGCAGATCGAATGCTATCGATCATGTTGCAATGTGGCCACCAGTCTAGGTGACTCGACACTGCGGGCACTATGTATTGAGATTAGATTGACTACCTCCAACCGCCATCTAATCTCATGTATCAAATTTCGTTAAGATATTTTACAACTGTTATCTTTGTTTGTATAAAATTATATGTCCTAGTTTCTAGAGTTGTATTTATACAATTTCTATAACACTATCATAGTTTACAACTGAAATTAATATTGCAAAACACCTGATTATTAATTAAACTGTTGACCATTTTCTTGGATTACACATAAGCAGGGAGATTCTCTGATCGCACTCTTTCGTATAATAGAAAATGTTAATGGAGACCCTATATAATATAGTTTAAAATAAATTAGGTTAAAACGTAGTAATATGCTGGTTACTTCTATGTAATAAGAACTGTTATTTGTCATTTATATTCTATCCTTAATCAATATTCTTCTTGATTAATTTAATGCATTACAGTTATTAATTATCTTCCTTTTTATGTACTGTTATAAAGTGTAACGACTTGGACCTATTCAAAATATACAAGGTTCCAGCTAATATGATTATTAGTTAATAGTTTCTGGCTTGAATGATGATGTGATTTGTGCATTGTTCCAAAAAAATGTTTGCCAATAATAGGAAGATACATTTAATGATAATCTATGGTTTAGATGAATAGATGTCATAGTTTTAACACAGTATGATTTAGAGCCGAGTTAAACACATACTAGATAGCTGAATAATATCACATTTTCCATGAAACTTGAATGTCAACATTTAGTCCCATGTATGGTGTGATAGGTGCGTACTATTTTGAGATCCTTAGATGCAACAAAACAGTGTTATTTTGCTTTCAATGATCCGCTAGTTTATGTCATCCCACGAAGAACATTATCTTCGAATGTAATTTATACTAAGCAAATCGTTACTATTGGCCATTCGATGATGCTAAATGAATGCTATTATAAGGTTTACAGCATGCATTTAAATCCCAACAAAGTTTTAATTCGAATGTACACTGATTTAAGGAAGATACATCATTCTAAAACGAAAGCCAACAATTAAAAAGAACTTTCAGTTACCTAAAGAATGGCAATGAAACTCACATAAATCGTTAAACATAGCAATCCATCAGTGAAATCTATGGTGATTGAGCTTCAGTTTTAAAGATCTCTTTACTTTTATTCATTACATACATAGTCTTATTAAAGTGGTTACTTTCAGTATGAGTTAACATGGATTAATGACGTTTGATATAATTTGAAATAATTGTGTAGATAAAAATAGGCTACACAGTTAGAAATGCTTTATCACAATTATTTTAAGTGCATCAATCACCCATAACAAAAAATTGAGGTTGCTTCAAGAGAATCAACTATATAGTTGGTAGATTCGACATGTTATCATCATTTTATTAAATAAGATTATCAACCCTGAAGCCCCATCACCAACACAAAATCATTTTTAAACTAAAAACAAAAACTTGGTATAGCTAAAAACAAAAGTGATATCTTTATATATAGTTTTTATAACACAAATTCTACACAATAAACAAGATTATATTACCAACTATAATTACTTATTACGATGGTTTTCTTTTAGACAAAAGAAATTTCGGCAATAATTTCTTTAATTTCGTTAACTTTTTAACCTATAAAGAATTAAATATAATTTTTAAAAAATTATTTAATATATTAGTTTTGACAATCACATGATGTGTCGTTTTTTAATACTCAAAGGGTTTCGGAAAAGGGGAAGAACGAGAAGCAGAAACCCACAATATACAGTAAATTATGCAGTTAGGCTAATGGTTAAGGATTAATGGAACCAGTGATATACTTTGAGTAGGATTGGTGTTAAACAGTTTTCGCAAATAAAAGAATGATCAGTATTTACTTGCAAATAATTACGTGTTAATTATCAAACATTATGTACAGAAAACAATAACTGTATAAAGTGTCATACATTGTTAATTAAAGTAGTATATTATAAAGTATAGAAGAGAACGCAAATATACAAAAAATGGTATACAACTTGGTAAATGTGCGTAACTACCAAAGCTACGGCATCTTATAACATCAAAGAAAGGGGAATATAGAAAAGACAGAAACTAAGTAAGAGTAAACAATGAATATATACTGTTCTCGATATTATGTTGTGAAAGGTGAGAAAATGTAACAAATCGGTTATTTTAGATGTGTAATAAGTATCTACAACAAGTATGTATGTAATCATTAGCGTGTTAGCCGACTCAACAAATTGTTATGCATATATAATGAATTCTAAGTTTTCAAACTTACAGTACGAATCTGATATGAAGAGTTTGTTAAAGAGGTGAAAAACAGTAGAATTGTCTTGTAGGTAAGATAGGATAGATATAAAGTCAAAAGAACATATACAAAAGACAAACTAATAACCATATAGAAGAAATCGCTGACGTATAATAATCTAATCAAGGAAGCATTAACTTCAACGTGTCAAGAGGTTCTGGGCCTAAAGAAACACCATCATAAGGAATGGATCTCTATAGAAACACTGGACAAGATCAAAGAAAGGAAGAACAAGAAGGCAGCAATTAACAACAGCCGAACACGAGCAGAGAAAGTCCAAGCACAAGCTGAATACATAGAAGCAAACAAACAAGTGAAGAAGAGCATTAGAGCCGACAAGAAGAAATACGTGGAAGAACTAGCAACGACGGCAGAAAAAGCTGCTAGAGAAGGAAATATGAAACAGCTTCACGATACAACGAAGAAACTAGCAGGGAAATACAGTAAACCAGAGAGGCCGGTCAAAGACAAAGAAGGCAAGCCAATCACCGAAATTCAACAACAGCGTAACAGATGGGTGGAATACTTCGAGGAACTCCTGAATAGGCCGGCTCCAATGAATCCACCGGACATCGAAGCAGCACACATAGATCTTCCTATAGATGTCAACCCACCAACGACGGAAGAAATTAGAATGGCCGTCAGACAAATCAAGAACGGGAAAGCAGCAGGACCCGACAACATACCAGCTGAAGCACTGAAATCAGACATCGAAGCAACCACAAGCATGCTATACCTTCTATTCAAAAAGATTTGGGAGGAGGAACAAGTGCCGATGGACTGGAAAGAAGGACACCTCGTCAAGATTCCAAAGAAAGGAGATCTGAGCAAATGTGAAAACTACAGAGGCATTACACTACTGTCAATACCAGGGAAAGTCTTCAACAGAGTGTTGCTGAACCGGATGAAGGATGCAGTAGACGCCCAACTTCGAGATCAACAAGCTGGATTCCGTAAGGATCGGTCGTGCACAGACCAAATTGCAACACTACGGATCATCGTCGAACAATCAGTTGAGTGGAACTCATCACTATACATCAACTTCATTGATTATGAAAAGGCATTCGACAGTGTAGATAGGAGGACATTATGGAAACTTCTTCGACACTACGGAGTTCCTGAGAAGATTGTCAACATTATCCGGAACTCATACGACGGACTACAGTGCAAAGTAGTGCATGGAGGACAGCTGACAGATGCATTCCAAGTAAGGACTGGAGTCAGACAAGGCTGTTTACTCTCTCCCTTCCTCTTTCTTCTGGTGGTCGACTGGATTATGAAGACCTCGACATCTGAAGGAAAACACGGAATACAATGGACAACTCAGAATCAATTAGACGATTTGGACTTCGCAGACGACCTAGCCCTCCTATCACGTACACACGAACAGATGCAGATGAAGACAGCCAGTGTAGCAGCAGTCTCTGCATCAGTAGGCCTCAGCATACACAAAGGGAAAACCAAGGTCCTCAAATTCAAAGCGGAAAACAGCAATCCAATCACTCTTGATGGCGAAACTCTGGAAGATGTAGAGTCCTTCACATACCTAGGAAGCATCATCGATGAACAAGGAGGTTCAGATGCAGACGTAAAGGCGAGGATCGGCAAAGCAAGGGTCGCATTCCTACAATTGAAGAACATATGGAACTCAAAACAACTTTCAACCAATATCAAAGTGAGAATCTTCAATACGAACGTCAAGGCAGTTCTACTGTATGGAGCTGAAACTTGGAGAACTACAACAACCACAATCAAGAAAGTACAAGTATTTATAAATAGCTGCCTACGCAAGATACTCAACATCCACTGGCCGGATACCATCAGCAATAGCCTTCTGTGGGAGAGAACAAACCAACTTCCAGCTGAAGAAGAAATTAGGAAAAGACGATGGAAATGGATAGGACATACATTACGCAAATCGTCAAACTGCATCACGAGGCAAGCCCTAACTTGGAACCTGAAGGGAAGCGAAAAAGAGGAAGGCCAAAGAACACATTGCGTCGGATTATAGAAGCAGATATGAAAAGGATGAATTACAACTGGACGGAGCTAGAAAGGATTGCCCAGGACAGGGTTGGATGGAGAATGCTGGTGAGTGGCCTATGCTCCTTCACGAGGAGTAACAGGCATACGATAATAATCTAGGATCACTTTGGATATATATATATATATATATATATATATATATATATGCTAGCTTTGAAAATTCTTAATATCATACTACTGACTCAAAACTAAATAAACCAGTTTCATGTAAGCCTTCACATATGATGTATATGATTGATGATAGGGATTAACAAATCAGCAAGATTATTAGGCTATATTTTAGTTACCTTTATATTATATGCAAATAGTTCTTTCATAAATACAGGATAGTGTTTATACGTATAAAATTGCCTCTGATCTGACAATAACTATATAAGTACGTAGTGTGTACACTCATAAACATACGTAAACGGCGTACGTATCGTATAGACTGAATTCACTGAAAGTTGAAGCCACAATATAACTAACAAAAACAGTTACTTAGTGGTAGAAAAATAGGAAGGATGATAAATCGGGGCTAAAATTTTCGGGAGCATGGTTTGATTCTTTGAAGGCTTTAAAGGTTGTAAAACTGTTTGTAGTAAGGAAAGCGAATATAATTACAATCACAGAAACGGACACAAAGAACTTAGGGTTTTCCACAAATATACATCGGTATGCGTTATCACGTTTTACATCAGCATAGAAAAGAAAATAACTAGCAAGACTGACAATGAGACTAAAAATATGGTGGTAATGGCGTAGAAACTGAATTTAACGAATATGATTTCAATCAACTGAACGACAATAAGTAATAGAGATTACGAAAAAGTGTTAAAGTCAAGACAGGAATAGATAAGAATGAATGCATCTTTCCTAATGCAACCGATTTTGAGCAACGCAGCATAGCCCTTAGCTACGCAATAAAATTATCCCAAGGACTCCAACAATAAAGTCGAACATACACAACAAGAACTGTAAATCAATTGTTACATTCAAGAAGGAATGATTATACTCAAAAATGAAATCTCACCCGCAAAAGTTGACCAATCACACACAGTATTGTCGTTTCACTGGTCGAGACTACAAGTAGTCGAGGTCCTACAGAATTTTCATTAATTTGTTGATTCTTCTAGTTTGGATAATTAGAGCTTCTAGTCGGTTTAATGAAGAAGTACTGAAAAAAATACTTCTACACATTCGGGTCAAAAATTCCGAACCCACATGGTATGGACATGATCCCGAAGATATAGAACATTCTACTTCGACATCGAGTATTCTAATTTGTCAAACACTTATAAAGCAGGACGTAAACGAGCCTTTCTCCAAGATTATAAAGCAAAATGTAATTTACTTTATGTTTAACTAGCTAAGAGTTATATCGGTCAAGCGAATATGACCATTTTTTAGATACACATAAAATGCAGTATATAGTCACTGACTTATTCGCCAGAAACTCACTTTGAAAGGTAAACTATAACCCTGAGGACAGTGCTTATTGCGACTCATATAAACAAGGCAAAATGATTGACCAGGTAAATCCTTTAATCGACTTGATTCGATTCTAGCCTTATATAACTCTTGAAATTTCGCTGTATTTGAAGGCTGCAATAGAGCGGAAGAAACAGAATTTTTTCGATGCTTCGCTTGAGATACATTACTTGATGCATAAACGTAGGTTATATAATCTTTTTCCAGATCTGCAAATTCTGCTGGGTAAAGGGCTATCCAGTCAAATGATGTAGTTTGTAAAGTTGGTGGAGCCAGTGGGCTTAAATCATCATCATTTGTGCTTTCTGATTTTCCCGATTTTGAAGAGTGTCCTAGTGTATTCAATAATAGTAGTTTGGCAAAATCAGATACTGGAACATATTGTTTGGATGAAAGTAATGAATTTGTTTCTGAAAGCCTTAATAGGCCGGGTGGATCAAGAACTTGGTACGATATTTCCAAATTGGCATTGAATGAATATGCTAGAATATTTAGAAGATAAGAATCAAGTGAAGTTCTTTCAAACACAACAGTACAAAATGATATAATCAACGAAATTTGAAGTCATAAACAAATTGCTAGCAAGCTTTTATATACCAGGAAACGCTACCATTTTTTCTACCCTATTAACCCTATCAAATATGTAGATGAATGACGTCGATGTGAACTAATGTTATCAGGTAGATGAGTAGGAAAAAATGAACCATTTGAATTCCAAAGAATATGTGGTGGTCGTATGACACATCTTCGATTTAAACCTGTATCGACATACTGCCAGATTTTTATTACAAGTGAAATATAGGAGTACTTCAATATATCTTGCACGAGCTTGCTCTCATAATGACTACTTTCCATTCCCAAAGTATACGCGCAAGTACGTATGTTCCTATAAGCGGGACATAGATTGGATTAAAACTTGTTCCGTCCAGGGTTGTATTTTGGCACGCTGATTGGTCATTTATCACTCAATCAGCGCTAGTGAATATTTGGGGAACACTCTAGGATCTTCTTGTGTAAAATTATAAATATATTAAAGTCTTTTTATTGTGATTCCTACTTCCGTTCAACCCGGATTATTTGGAATGTAGTTGCACTTCTGTCCTACCGTGTTCTAGTTTGGGGACTTGTCGAGTGAAGTAGTGTCCCAAGAATACTAAGCAGTGAGTAGTTGGGTCGTAACAAGGGAGATTATAAGAGTGGCGACGGGAAAGGTAAACATTCAAAATGCGAATCAAGCAACCAGCTCAACCGAATTCGGCAACAACAGCAAGAACGACTTGACGAGTAAATGCGGTTGTCAGAAACTCTGACTCAGTAGCTTAACATCCACTGCTTGGGTCTACATGCTATTAACTACTTCTTGCGATCCAGTTGCCAGCAAATACCCAGAAGTCAATATTGACCCAAAAAGTGGAAATACTGTCCCCACGTGGTGCAAGCGTTGGGAAGAAGCGTTTAGAATAGAATTCGGTAAACAAGATGACGCGTGGAAGACTCAATAGTTGATGCGTAAGTCAGAAAGTAACGAACACGTACGCTGCGCTGACTACATATTGCCGAAGTTGCCTCGGGAGATCAGTTCAGAGGAGACGGTAGACCAACTGTCAGAGATATTCAATGAATCATCTTCGTCATTTAGTGTTCAAAATCAGTGTCAAAATTTGGTAAAACGTATTGCCGATTATTATGGTGGTTTGGCAAATATTGTCAATAGGGAGCATGGACAGTTCATGTTACGTTCATTAATAGAGGACCAATTTAAATGCTTAATATTCATTAAAGCTCTTCAGTCACCACAAAATGCTGAGATTGGGACTAGACTTTCAACTCAATTGGATCAGCATCCAAACGTCAAACTCGGAACACTGACAGTTCCTTCTGTAGTGAAATGTTTTACCACACTTTAAATTACTTGATTCGAATGATTATTTAAGCAATACCTCAAAATTCTACTACATTAAGATCATTTTATTAAATAGCTTTCATAACCCAGTTATAGTAAGCATACGTGGGATATATTTCTAAAATAAGTGGAAACATACATTAGTTAGCTAATCAATCAGCAAATCTAGGAAGTCCACTAATTGTTTTCAGTCAGTACGACACAGCGTATAGCCTGGTACGTGTGTACTGGATCAAGTTGTCAGATCACATTAGCACAGAGATGTCACAACAATAGAAGTATTAGTACTATCACCGTTAATAGAAAAGATTAGAGAGAAACAATAAATTTCGAGGAAATATGGGTTTTAGAAAAGATATAATAAACTTAGGGTCTAAAGGAAGACAAAAGGGTGAATGTATTTGAACCACTGTACGCGATTATGATCCCCGTCACTTTTAGCTGACATAATACAATAATTTATTTAACAGCTGGAGACCCGACAAAGTAACAAATAAGGTGTATGTATCACACGAGGATAGCACTGACCAGTGTCTGAAAATTTCACATGTTAATAAACAAGAATATCATAGTATTTCATTCTACGCTGTATATATATATATATATATATATATATATATATATATATATATATATATATATATAACCATCTTGTACGAATCATATGGTAATGAATAGAACGATATTACACATCACAAAACGACATTGAGTTAATGGAATTATTTCAACAAACACAACTTCAAATATATACAGATATTTATCAGTATTAAATCATAGATCTACAAACAGTTTTGTTTGTTAGAATAATAGTGTGATGAGTTATGATCAGAAAACCGACCACTTACATCAGCTAGTTAAGTAAAGTTATTGAGGGGCTTATGAAAGGTGAAAGTACTGAATTACTAGAGTAACATTTACTATCATTAGTCAAGACTCAAAAATGGGACACATTATATGAGTGAAATCAATGAAACACAGTAAAAATTCCTACCTTTGCCATCAGGCTCAATAAATTTGACAGGTAAGCTAAACCATCTTGGAGGCACAGATAATTTGAATACTGCGATAACTGGCCGATGATCCGAGGTTTTGTATTCATTCAAAACTAGTATACTTGAGTAAAACGGCCTCAGGGTGTTGTCTCCCTTTGATAGATTTGTTTGCTGGGAACTTTTCTTCCACTTCGGATGGTGACCCACGTACAGGTAATCGACGGGATGGGCTAGCTGGTCTCTGTCGGTCACTTTCAGGGAGGTTAAGGTGGTGATCAAGAGCGAAATCTCGGTGAACCATATACAATATACGGTCTGTCCACGCAGGAACGCGCTGCTTTTTACTACGATAAGGTAATAGTATAGGTTTAAATACGTCCTAGATAATAGTTTTAGTTGGCAAAATGATAATAAAGTTGGTAGAAATTAGAGCACTTGACTTTTGAACCAAGGGCAGAAAATTCGAGGCCCACCCCAACTACTTATTTTTGGATAATTGCATAACATCTGTCAACAGCCCTCGTGCAAAACATCTAGCTCAAAGCCGTGAATATGAGCCTTTACTTATTAAATGATTTAAGTGAACGATTTCTTCTTGGGGCCAGAAAACGAAACATGTCAAAACCTAAACAATCGGATCAGTTACCTTTCGAAATTTCTACTTTAAACTTAGAAACGGTAGATGACCTCCCCAGAGTAACAAGTAACCAACTCTGATTTTTACGAGCTTTAATTGTATAAAACAAAGTAACTTTCGTAAATATAACTAGCAAGAAACTCAGCTAATTTCTTTCGTTTGTAGTGAGGAATGTAAACTCGTCACCATACTGAAACTCAATAACTATTCATTATAGAAAGATAAGGTTGTTCACGCTTCAATTTATTTCTGCAGTACAATTAATATGTAGAGGGATGAAATTCATATCAAACTAGTTATTTGTTTGTAAGTGGTAATTATACCACAGGGTAACACAACTATGAAAATACATCAATATGAATAAAGCAATCCAAATATAGCAAACCAACATTAAAGGAATTCCCTAAAATGCTTTTCCACGTGGCCAACGGTTATAAGAAACGAGGAATGCTACCACTGTAACTTCGTAAATTGATTTACTCTTTCTGGAGGTATCTTAAACTCTTTGTAAACTTATGGGGAAAACATTTCAAACTCTTAGCCAGCAAAACTAATACTCCAGGAAGAATTTGCCCCAAATCAAAATATATCTATGTACAGGACGAGTTATACAGGTTAGACAAGAACATTAAATTAATTATATGGAGTGGAGTAGTTATTACTACTAAAGTAACTACGAAGCAAGTTGTGTTAACGCAATGAATAAATGTGTGATTACCTACTGTCGTATGTATCCGTTCCTTTGTCAAATTTGAAAGTTGGGGGGAAGGATATAGTGCCTTCATTAAAATCATGAAATAACAATTTTTCATTTTTCATATTAAGAAGCTAAAATATAGATATATGGTATGCTAGTTTACTTGATCATGCTGTAGAAGTTCGTTAAAACGTTTTTCTTTGACCATTAACTCCACTTCAGATTTTTTGAGGTGATCGATACGAAAATTTAAATCACCCATCCAGAAAACATAACTTTTGGAATTTATCAAAAACGAGACATAACTCACTCATGATCAATAATGACATTGACATCTTCATCCCTAAAACTCTGATGATCTATAATATCGATATAATCCTGTGATATAAACAAAAAGGAAACTGCTTACATTTAACCGATCTTGCTTGTTTTCTCTGTGGGCAGTAAAATGACACGAAAGAAAGATCATGTTTATCCCACAAAGTTCAAACCTCGCACTAACCCCGCCCTTATTCCCCTTAAAACCTCAAATATGTCTAAGCATCAAACAAACCATGACACCAGCATATCCTGAGGCTGTTACCTCGGACTCAATATTTGTGACTGCAGGCAAGAGGTTTCTCTTCAGAAACGAAAAAATCCAAATGGCCCAACAATTACGTGACTTGATCTATTAAAATGAATTTACAAGGTTGACGACCACCAACACAATGATTACCAGCACATAACCATGAGGATACAAGTGTTCCAGGAGCTTTTGTCTCCATGCGTCATCTCCACAGACTTCTTGAAGTCTATGAAGTGAATTATAACTTTACAGAGAACTTACGCAACGCTTATTACGTCGGGTGATGGTTTTGCGTTAACTCCAAGAAGGGTAGAGAGGTCTTCGCTTCCTGGTTTTTCATCACCGACGTTCCACGTGCAACAATGGACACTATGTAAGCATAAAAAGAGTTAACGATGAACAACAAACATTAGTGACGGCATCTCACATAGCCATACTAAGCGCTGGTAAAGGTCATTTGAAAGGCCTACAGTACTAAATGAACAAACAAAGCAGTTTTCAGAAACGGAGTTTAATGTTGTACTCCTAAAGGCTAAGCTATCCAAGTTAATAAAATGATGGAGTTTTGTCTTCAATGTGGATTCATGCTTACTAGTTTGGGTGTGAAGTTTTTGATGTTCCATTTGCAGTTTGGAATGGACAGGAGGCTGAATGGTTTATATTGGTTCCGACGACGAAGATTTGCTATTCGATCCAACTTTTCCTTGGATATATTGACAGATCGAATTTGAATCTCTCAGCGAAGTAAAGACTTCCACTCAACAACTATTCTAAGAAAAAAGTTGGTAGGCAGCTGATACGCAGTTTTTTCTTGGCTTGTGAACCCCTTTTAAACCCCCTCACAGATTCTCCATTTTGGAGGATACGAAGGTTTGGAGCAGGTCACATGCTTAACTGTTTGGAATTGCAATAAAGTTGTAACGGTTAATAAATCCCCAAACTCAATAGCACTACATGTCATTGACATTTGATGCTGACCACATTAGTTTTAATGGACCCACCTAGCCCGGTCATGCATTCGCACCAGATCACGAGTGGGAATGCCCTGTTGACCTTCCCCTGCGACTGTTAGCCAGTTTAGATCACTCACTTCTCGATATATCGATAACCTATCAAATGTATATTCGAACCTACACCTTTCTGACTTTTGATTTCATTGGGTGAGCACGATTTAACTATAAATGTTACTGGTTAAGTGTTGTTAAACTGCAAATACCTGTGGTATCTCAAAAGTCGTCTTTCTCTAACGGCCTAGTTTAGCCATTTTCTCATCATACAGCAGCTTCCAGAGACTCAACTTAGTTTCTGTTATTTGAACTTTCTTCAAACGTTCACTGTTTACTTATAGCGGAAGCCAAATGCTTCTATGTAACACCTGTGCCTACAAAATGAAAACTATCCTGACAGTCACGTGGCTAAAGGCTCTACGTATTTTTTAGGCAGTTCTAAGACCTTTATGAACGGATGTATAACACTGTGTACTGATTCTAAATTTTGAGTGACAATGACCACTACGTCATTGTGCCCAATCAGTAGGTAGCTCAATAATATTCGCAATATATGTGTTTGTGTCTCAGTGATCAATTTTAATCATCATACATCTAGAAATATTTATCGGGGAATATCAAATTCTGGGCAATTTTGATTATTTCTGCAAATCATTCTGAAGCTCTAAACTATCTCCCTCATTTTTCGTTGCCCTCTCTTGATATCCTCGGCACATAACGAAACCGATTATCATAGGATACAAGAAAGGATATTTAAATGTAAGCCAAATCATACATTTCCCATGACTTTGCTGAGGCTCCCCACTGAGCACTTTTTTCCAGTGAAGCAACTTGTGATTAACCTGTACTCGTTGTTCGTGCTGAATTACGAAGTCATTTACATTAACAAATTACTTACCTGAAAATCCCCTGTCACCTAAGTAAAAACTTGTCACATAGAACGTCGTCAAAAATCATACTGAAATCGGTGAACGCTCCATCTAATTGTAGCTTTAGATCACATAAATGCACAACACATTGAGGATAATCTTTTGTAGAATCTTGGCAACTAATCTGTTTAATCTTATGAACTGGTTACTCGCAGGTTTATGAGTCGCATCTTTTTTGAAGACGGAGGTAACTTGGCATTCTTCTAGTAGCTTGGTGTTCTACTTTGGGTTATAGATAGACTAAAGCATGTGATTAAAGGTTTGTAGTTTGTAAGTTATTTTTGTTATCAACGCTACATTTAATCGATTTTCATAGAATCGACATTATCTAATTTGTTTTAGAGGCCAAGAACATCTCATAGTCTTATTGTGAGGAGTGTGGATAGAACGAGTCAGTTGTACCCGAGGAAAGGGCACCTCTACAGTATATACACTGCTGAAGCGGTGTCAGAATACCTGGACTTTATCACAGCCATCTAACGGCAATGGACTATCACCATCTCAATGCAGTGCTGAGATCTCTCATCCCGTTTTGTCCTTCGGTATCTGGTATCCTACAGATTCCTTAACAAGCTATTATTCACACAAAATTCTATACTTGGTTAATGAGTTGGCCAAAATATTTCCGATTTCCAATATAGTGACTTTGTTACATTGGGGTGTCAGTACCTGTTATGTATGCTGAATGTTTACTCCGTTTGTTCTTAGTACTGAATCTATGTTTAAAGATTCAGAAATGTCAGGAATATTACATGATTGTAAAAAGCTAATGAATTTGAGTTATTCACGAGACAGAAATATTAGTTCACTGGATATAAAGTTGATTATTGGACTGCACTGCTTCAATTTTAAGGACTTTTATGACTTGCAACTATGGTGTAGTTTGGTTATTACATCAGTAAATTATGATCATATCTGGATGCAGTGAGCTTGTTATAGCCAGTGGTCTAAACGTTTGAATAAACACCTAATGTGATATTTGAATTCATTATTCCAAATACATATTTTGGTGGAGGCCCGTAGTTTTCGACTCCTATTTAGATCGTATAATTGTTTGTCATCGCCTATTCTCGTATATAATCGTCGACTTAAATCGCGTTATCCAATAACGGAATTAAATAAGTCAAATAACGAGAATTGACTTGTGAATACATATATTTTGTACATGAAGCGATTGAAACAGCGTAGAGCAAAATGACACGCAGGGAAGATGGCTGGGAAGCCAACTCCATTTTAGTCAAGCGTTACTCAATATTTATAGTCAGACAAAATAAAGATACAGACATGTGCTTAATGGAAAAAGAAGGGCATACACATATACCCTCATATAAAAGCAGTCTAGATTGATAAGCGAATAAATAACAAGGTCAAAGTATGGCTCGAGTAGGATGAATAAAATGGGATATCCGGAAGCTAGAATAAGGTATATGGGCTTGGCATAATAACTGACACTACAATATAAACATACATACATACATACATACATACATACATACATACATACATACATACATACATACATACATACAGTTATAGTGACAATGTCTGTTTTCGTAAAACATGTTGTCAAAGCGAGTTCCACGTCGTGCATTATTTGCCTATTTTGGGACCAGTTAGAAAATACAGAGGTGTGAAGTGTATGACATGGTGTCGTGGTATGAAAGAAGGTTGTAGACGATTGGCTTCTGTCGGTTCTTAACGACTCTGTTGTTGGGATCCTAGAAAAGGTACAACGCAGTGGCTTGAAACTTCATCAGAGATGGTTAAGAATCAAAGACAATGGGTATTCTGCCAAAACTTTCACTTTCTTCATTAAAGTGAGGGGAACTTCTTCAACTGAAAGTATCCATTCTTATTGTTTTTTAACTAAACTGCTTCTCCAGTATTTCATCGTTGTCTTACTCTCACACACTAAATTCTGTTCATCTTCGTTCTTCTTTGTTATTTTCGTAATCATTATGAAGAACTGAAATTATTTGACACATTAACATTTATTGCATTGAGTATTAATAATTTCAGTGTTATGGATACACGTGTCTTACTGAAATGTTGAGACCCTCTTTAGCGGCCAAAGTGTGATCTCGCGAACTAACCTGTAGACTATCAGATGGCATCACACCTTTTCGGAGCAGTATCCTCACCCTTCTGTGCAAATTTCGCATTGGCAAAGGTGGCTCGAAAATTGTCTAATGACTGTGATAGCTACGTAATAGAATTGGTACGTTAGGTCTGGGTTGAACTGACACATGCTTGTTTATGACGACTATACGGATGATTGAAGTTGCGTGATCACTCTTACCTAGGGCTAGCATGTAATCGAAGTTCGCAACATCATCCTAATAATTCGTCAATATGAAATCTAGTAAGGATGATTCGGAGTCCAGCTCGTACCTAGTTGTTTCCTTCTTATTTTGCACCCTAGTATATGTGATAGTCGCATCAACTAGTTCCTGTCCGAAGGGAGTTTCTGACATTTCAGTACTCAGATATTTCGAGCCTACCGTAGACGCAATAATTTCTCCTAGAACTAAGCACCAACTACTTTGTGACCAAGTTTTGAGACCACCCAGCAAGACACAATTCACCTCACATTTTGGACTGCAGTAGACCAAACCAATCAGCAGGTTTTTCCCTTTGCATTTCAAGAGCAACTAACTAACTCACATGTTCTACTTTCATGAGACGTGTCATTATCAACGGTAAATGGGATGGCATTTTCAATGAATAAAGCTACTTCTTAACCTTTACGCTTCTGTACTCTGTTGGCTCCTACTGATGAAAAACCTATAAAATCAAGTCCCATACTGTCAATAGACTGCGTCAATCAAGTTTCTGTGACAGCGATTACACCTGGCATAGTAGATTCAATATGTACATCTAGCTACGACCGCTTATTTTGCAAGTTTCGGGCGTTTGTGTAACAGATCCGAAACCCATTAAAATGGCTTCGTGCTGCCCCCAGAATGGTTTCGGCATCGTTCTCTGTCGAAGCCTCACCATCAGTAAATCCACAATTTTTAGGTTTTTTTTCGCAAGCATGCGGAAAGTCTTTAAGCACAAAACTCTTGACCACTTTAGTTTATGTCCATTTAGTAGTATAAGGCCCCTTTCATCGAGAGATTTTAACACTACTTTTAGCAGACTGGTTTGGTTCTGTTGCAAGTTCATTTGGCTACCTTTCCCATAGACCCTTAGGAAGATGACTCTGGAGATATCCTGAGGCATTAGCTGGTTAAGTAATTGTTTTAGCAAATCAACTCACCATTCTAAGACTCCTCCGATTGCTGAGTCATGTGCATCTACTGCGATGCTAATGGGCGCTCGAGTGTCCTGGTGTGTGAGCATCGTTGCCTTTGCCAGGTGTTGCTTAACTGTGGAGAATGCTTGTCGCACGGTATTGTCCAAATTGATGGATTTTGCATTTCCACGAATTCGGGCGGTTAGCGGTCTCATAAGGGACGCGCATTCTGTTATGTACCGTCCATAGAAACTTACCAAGACATGACCTAGTCTTACGATAAGGTTTTCTAGGCATTTCCTGCTGGCTGTCATTTGGAGGACAAAACAACCCTGTTCACTTCTCTAAGAAGCATAAAAATTGAAGCTTCTGGATGCGAGAAGGATAGGGTTAATATTATAGTGCCGTTCTTAACTATTTTCTTTATAAAAGACGAAAACACTCGGTCACAAAACGATACTTAAGAAGACATCACTCGAAGTCAGAAAGGCAGAAGAACAACCTAGAAGACAAGTGCAGAATGCTTTGCAAAAATTCTTTTCAAAGTATGTTCGACACTTCGTCTTGGTGTCTGAAATTATTTTCATTTGGTTGGGTTGACCTATTCTGACATCCAACCTTGACGGTTATTTGAAATTTCGGGGAATGAGTCTTTGGGTTGACAAATATACTCCTACTTCATTGGGGAAGTTAGATTACCACAAAAGACAAGCCAAAAATTTGAAAAAATTAGTAAGTGACGATTACTTTAGTGACCTAAATCTCAATTTTAGGTTGATAGCAACAATTTTCCTCACTTGCTAGTGTATGGACCTTCTGGTGCAGGGAAGCGAACTAGAATCATGTGTATTCTTCGTGAGCTGTATGGATCAGGCGTTGATCGACTAAGAATGGAACACCATACCTTCACAAATCCTTCAAACAAGAAAGTCAGCTTATCCACAGTTTCGAGTAACTTTCATTTGGAAGTAAATCCTAGGTACTTTTATGTAAAGACCCTACTGTTTTTAATTTTTGATAAACTGAAACTTTATGGAGCTGAATCTTTACTACTTACGGGCGCCTTCTAGTTTTTAGTCACGACTTGGTGTTAACTATACGCAAACACTATCTTAAGTCGTACCCTAGAACTACTGGTCTTATATTTCATTTCGAACGACGGTTAGATTTCAGATTTTGGAATAAAACATCTGTTGGAATAAGTAATTATTATTGATGAATTTTGTCTACACACGATTTCGTGACTCGTATTTGTCACCAATGTCTAGTTTTACAGGTTAGACATCGAAGAGTCATGTCACGCGAAGTCTCTAATCATTGGCTACGACAATCACGCGGACTCTAATAGTTACGGACTTTGAATGATTGCTTAAAATTTTTCAATGGTTCAGTTGTATCTACTGTTTGTTTTCCCTTAGATGTTATGTTTCTGGATCTCATAATTTCTGATACTTCAACTTTTATTTTTTTATAACGTGTTTTTGATCCTTAATCTGTTCTATTATTCCTAACAGTATCACTGCCTCTACTACTCCAGGGTTCGCCCTGAAAATGTCATCACAATGCGTTACTAGGAGTGTAAATGTAGAAAATAAACAAATCAACTAAATTCGGGAATATATATATATATATATATATATATATATATATATATATATATATATAGTAGAATAAATTTGAGGCTGAAGAATAAGTTCGTCTCCACTAATGCAATCGACTTTAAGTTTTTTCCACTTCAAGTCGATGCGTCTAGATATGAAATTGTCAGCTAAGTCAGAAAGTTTCTTTCGACGTATTTTTGTGATGAAATAAGAGGAAATCGAGCAACCCAGATGAATATCACCTGTTATATGCACTTCATACAATAATCCTTTGTAAGCCATGACTCAGCTAAGAGTATCGAACGGAACTTTATTCAGTAGAGAAATGTACATACTTATCACCTTTAGTGAAAAGGGACTCAATCACTGGATCCAAGTACCACTCTCAGACAAAACGTCGAACATCACTATATGTACTTTCATTCAAATGCTGATGAAAATGAGATATCCCGACCGTTGTTGCTACCTTGACGTGGTGGTCGGGCTTGCCTATCGTGATGAAGCAACCGAGCTATACTGGCTGGAACAACCGTTCCTCAAGGTCCTACCATGTCAGACAGGTCGGTTGAAGAGCGGTAAGACTAAAAGCAACAAACCCAAGGTCCGAAGGCGAAGTCGTACTGCTGACTGTACAGAGGTGTGACAGCAGTAAGGTGTTTCCTTCAGACAACCAGCATGACAGCGATGCTGCCTTCCCACAAGGAGGGGTGGGGTTAGAAAAGGTCGACCCTAAAAATGCACACCTCGCCTTATCCCACGGATATCCGTCTCCGGCGGTAAGGTCTCAATAAGTACGGAGCTAACACAAAAATTACCCATAACAAGGTCGTGTGTGACCGACCTCAAGCAGTTGTCCCTTGGGCACTGCGGTCACGCTCTCAGGTCACTAAGACCACTTCTAATCCAATTTCCTTTTCAGGTACCTCCAGAACAACCCTTCCACGGTGTGGGCAACCGGGAAGTGATAACCGCCCTCATACTTCTAACAGCACTCAAGACCACTGTATTCATAATCAACCTCCTCTTCAATTCCTATTATTCCTCCTACATCGACTTTCAACTCTATATTTCCTCTCTCGGCTTCCACCTCAAGTGTCACCGTAGCCAACGATTCTAGTGCGCAAAACACTGTCCCAGGTCTACTGAAACCTCGCTCCAAACTACACATTGGAGCCTTCAACGTACGCACCCTATGTCAAATCGGTCAGCAGGCTTCCTTGGCTAAAACCCTAGAGTCTCTTTCCATTGATGTATGCTGTGTCTCCGAAACACGCATACAGGATTCCAGTGTGGTCATTCACTTGACCTCACCTCGGCAAGACGGAGAGCCAACGAGATACACCCTTCGTGTGTCTGGTGACCCGATGGCAAGTTCTCGTGGACTGGCAGGTGTAGGCATAGCACTAAGCATGAGGGCCGAACAAGCACTGCTAGAGTGGATCCCCGTCAACAGTCGTCTATGTGCTGTTCGGCTGAACGGCTACGTAAGAACTCGGAAGGATAGGGACACACGTCGTTGCCTTTTTGTCGTTTCTGCCTACGCTCCCACTGACTGCAGCTCAGATGAAGTGAAAGATGAATTTTACAGAAAGCTGTCCGAACTTCTTCAGAAAGCTAAACGCTCAGACATAGTACTCGTAGCAGGTGATTTTAATGCTCAGATAGGCAGTTTAAACCAAACAGAAAGGCATTTAGGTGGATATTTTAGTATTCCGACACAGCGAACAGATAATGGTGATCGTCTGCTGCAGCTATGCTCAGACAATCGTTTATTTTTAGCAAACACAAATTTTAAGCATAAGGAGAGACATCGTCTAACATGGCGACCCCCTACACCAAACCAACGATGGACTCAAATAGACCATATTGCCATCAGTCATCGTTGGAGAGGGTCGGTAGAAGATTGTCGCTCATTCTGGAGTACCTGCTTGGACTCCGACCATGCCCTAATACGGGCACGCATCTGCTTGCGCCTCACTGGACGCAAAAAAGCCACATTAAAAAGACCCATTAGAACTGAGTTGAGTAACGAGAAAACCAAAAGTAGGTTCCAGGAACAACTGAGGTCACACTTAGGTAGTTGTGAAGACGAGGCTGACCCAGATGTTGCTTGGAAGGACATACAAGCAGCTGTGGAAACAGCAGTGACATCTATTAGTGACTTAAACCACAGAGTTACAAGGAACCAGTGGATTTCTTCAAGGTCTGTCACACTGATGGATTCTCGCAAACTCGTCCCATCAGGTTCTGAACATGATGAAGAGCGTAAACAAATCAGATCTAGGTTAAGAAAAAGTCTAAGGAACGACCGTGAGCAGTGGTGGGTAACGAAAGCAAAAGAGATGGAAAAGGCGGCGACTATAGGGAACACAAGACAGCTTTACAGACTAATAAAAGAAACTGGAATTAATAAGTCAAGTGTAAGTGAGATTATTTCGGAAAAAGATGATACTCTCATCTGCTCCCAGTCCAGACGTTTAGAACGATGGGCGGAACATTTTAGAGAACAGTTCAGCTGGCCTTCAGCTACTCTACAACTACCCTCCATTCCCAGACAAAGTGAATGGAACATTGAAGTAGGTCCCCCAACTCTTGCTGAAGTTGAGAAGGCTATAGTTAATCTGAAACGAGGAAGGGCAGCTGGTCCAGATGGATTGGCTCCAGAGGTCTTTAAGGATGGTGGTCCAATTTTAGCGATTAGGTTGACTAATATTTTAGCTAAGATCTGGGAATTAGACGTTATCCCATCTGACTGGTCGCAATCACTTATCGTCCCAATATATAAGAAAGGGTCAAAATCATCCTGTGACAACCACAGAGGGATTAGTTTAACAAACATAGTATCTAAAATACTGGCCTCGATAATTATCAAACGCCTAACTAAGACTCGTGAACTACAAACACGAGAGAACCAAGCTGGCTTTAGACCTGGTCGTGGCTGCATCGACCACATATTCACCATTCGTCAGGTTCTAGAACACAGGCATACCTATCGGCGTCCGACGATGGTGGTCTTTCTTGACTTAAAAGCAGCATTTGACTCTGTAGACCGCGAGACTCTGTGGCAGTGTCTGTCATTGAAAGGCGTACCTCAGAAGTACATAAACCTTGTGAAGGCTCTTTACTCGAACACTACTAGTCGAGTCAGGGCTTATGGCGAACTGTCATCTACTTTTGCAACCTCAAGTGGTGTCCGTCAAGGCTGCCCACTTTCTCCATTTTTGTTTAACTTCATCATAGACCTATTGATGGAAATAACACTCTCGTCGACTGAATTCTCGGGTATTGATCTCCTTCCAGGAGGTCCACTTATCGACTTAGAATATGCAGATGACATAGTCCTGTTTGGTGAAGACGCTGACAAAATGCAGAGTCTTCTGGTAGCACTAAGCAACAATGCCAGAATGTTTGGGATGCGCTTCTCTCCCTCTAAATGCAAGTTGTTGCTTCAGGACTGGTCTGCGTCAACACCTGAACTAAGGATAGGGAGTGAAGTAGTCGAACGCGTTGACAACTTCACTTATCTTGGAAGTCTGATCAGCCCTAATGGGTTGGTGTCTGACGAAATCTCAGCACGGATTCGTAAAGCTCGTTTGGCTTTTGCCAACTTACGTCACCTTTGGCGGAGGCGAGATATCCGTCTATCAATAAAAGGACGAGTATACTGCGCGGCTGTCCGTTCTGTTTTAATTTACGGCAGCGAAACATGGCCCTTAAGAGTAGAAGACACCCGTAAGCTACTAGTATTTGACCACAGATGCCTTAGAAATATTGCTGGCATCTGCTGGGATCACCGGGTAAGTAATAGTGAGGTTAGACGCAGGGTATTAGGGAATGATGGTAAATCAGTTGATGAGGTTATGAATCTTCATCGACTGAGATGGTTGGGCCACGTATTACGTATGCCTGAACACCGATTACCGCGACGTGCAATGCTAACCGGTGTAGGGGATGGTTGGAAGAAAGTTAGGGGCGGCCAAACCAAAACGTGGCATCAGTGCCTGAAGTCACTAACTTCTAGTCTGAGCCATGTTGGTAGATGCAGACTACTTGGTTGGGGTCCGCGTGACTTTCGTAACCAATGGTTGGAGACCCTTGGTGACATGGCTCAGAATCGATCACAATGGCGTCGGTGTATACACTCCCTGTCTTCCCTTAAACTAAGAGATTAAAATCACTTCATATCTTTCTTTCTACGAACTAATTCTTTCTTCTTGTATTATATCTCTATTGCAATCTTTCTCTTATATATTACCACCTTTGACCTAACCACTGCTATGAATCCGGTGTTCATCTTGTTGTGCTGATGCGGTATGGCAACCTGGACCGATGCACATATGTGCCTGGTCCTACGTTGTAGCTGACTGACTGACTGACTGAAAATGAGATATAATTGGAAAATTGTGGTTTGGAGTTCTAGAGACTCGAAAATTTGACTTCAAAATTCAGGTTATTACTGTTCGTGGTTTAAACTGTTTTGTGACTTTTCAGTGTTTTGTATGATAGTAAGTTGAACTGCTGAACTGACATCTTCTAAACGCTTAGGAATCATCACAGCGAACTGTAAAACGAAACAATGGGGATATTTTTCGGTCAAGTTATTCCACTCTTTTCTTTGTCAATATTATCATTATCCGATATTTATTCTATATCTTCACGACCGTCTATATTCAGTTTGGTGGATCTGTTGACGCTTCTTTCAACAGTAACCTAGTTCTATAGGTAGAAAATGATAACTTATACAAGTGGTTTTATGAGATCACCGTAAATTTACTAGTCCTTGGTAGTTAGTTCCAAATAATTGAAATTAATAAGTTGACGTAAACATCACATGTCCTCATATCCCTAACCTGTTAGTCCAGCGATTTTAGTCACATTTCGTTTGTTTTAATCTGTAATTGCTATCGATAATATTAGTATATGTCGTTTACTTTTATTCCAGCGATGTTGGAATTTACGACCGAATCGTCATTCAAGAGTTAATCAAAAGTATGGCATCAACAGCTCAGCTTGACAGTGGGCAACAGAAAGATTTCAAAGTAGTAGTTCTGCACGAAGCGGACCATTTAACACGTGATGCACAACATGCTTTGCGTAGAACTATGGAAAAGTACATATCCACTTGCCGTCTAATATTGTCAGCGGAATCTACCAGTAAGGTTAGTTCTGTCCTGTAGTTGTGATTGTATGCTCTCTCCATTCTATCCTTCGATTTTCAAATCGTTGTAAATAGGGTTTGATTTGAGAAGTAGAGTGATCAACAAGAATCAAGCAAATAAAACTAGTACATTACATTCGATTTTTTGTGGTGTAATACAAGGTTAATGGTGTTGTATTATTGAAATCGGTTTCATAAGATGGTGCTTCCTTATTCACTGATATGCTTTAAGTTTATTGTTTATTTATTTTAACGCATAGATATTGGTACAAAGAGGCACCAAATACATATGCGTCACACAAATCTCATTTGATATGTGTGAGGGCTGTGGTACTGCCCGGGTGCCCAAACCGAAGCACTTGGTTTTCTTATGGGGTCACTTCCCGAGCCTTCGGCCTGAAGGACTGATCCACAAGGCAGTGGACCATCGTAAGGAGATGCAGTCCCATGGTAGCCAGTGGCCAACGGTTGGTTCATACGCCATTTGTCCCTTCAGGATACTGGATCCCACGTGCACCATTGGTTTAAAATCAGGGTTTTCCAACTTCTGTAAGTGGATGCTCTGTGTCCATCAACCCGGTTAAAACGCCGGACATTCGCTTTTCGTCCTCTCAATTTCGTAAACAACACCCCCTCTGCGAGAAGGCGATGAGTAGGACTTACCTGGCAGAGACTATATACGTGTGGTCATGTGAGAGCATTTCGAGAGGGAGAGCGGACCTTCCCCACTCTCGGCCGTACCAGGGCATTTGGGGGCATGCTTTAAGTTAGTAATTTGATAATTTCTTAGTTAGGTTGAGTGGTTAAGAGAAAATACCGAAATTCTCCGGTCACTAATCTAAAATAAATATCAGAAGGGGTTTGTGGAGATTTTTAGAAATTTTCACAGATTGAAATCATGAGTCAGTTGAAGCTAGACCACCATTGAAAACCTGGAAGCACAGGAAGTAGGACTCCTCAGCAGTGCGCATCCACGATCCCGCACCAATGGTGGTCTAGCTTCAACTGACTCATGATTTCAATCTGTAAAATAAATATGTTGGATCTAAAGTTTAAACGGTTTGTTGTAGCAGCAAGTGGTTTTCTTCTTGTCATTAAAAAATGATAACTAGATCAATACTATTTATAGTTAGTTAAGGATAGTAACCAATTTCGCCGTGGTTTGACTGTTTACTTAAAATTGTTTCATAGTTAAATGTGTTTGTTTATGTTTAGTCAGTTTAGTCAGTAAGGGTGAAATCTGACAAAGTATCTTTACGTGAAGTGTTGTGTTTTGTAGATGGACCTTTTGCTTGAACTAGTGATACATTGATTGTATGATAGTGTTGACTCTTAGTTTATTCACTGGAATAAAGAGGTTAGGAGTAGTGCTTGTCATCAACATCGCTAATCCATTTTGCTGGGGCTCATGGTATAGTTTAACTTCTAATTTGGAATTTATTAGTTTATAGTTTCGTACTTAGAAAATTAATCATGTATGCAATTATTAAAGCCGAATAAGTAATGTTTTTCGTTGCTGCTTGCTTCATAGTGTCTATTATGTGGCAACTGTGTTTGTATAGTATATTCTTTATTAAGCAACATCACGTGGTTATTTATTTTTCAGATCATTTCTGCTACTCGTTCAAGATGTCTACCAATAAGAGTTTCTGCCCCATCTATCGATGAAATTGTTGAAATCTTGAAAAATACCGCTCGCCGAGAAGGCCATTCAATGCCGGTTGAACTAGCTAAGCGTATCGCGTTAGCATCCGAACGGAACCTACGTAGAGCTCTTTTGTATGCTGAGGTAGCTAGGTGGCAGCATTGCCCCATGCTTCCAGACCAGAGTGTGCAGTTACCTGACTGGCAAGTCTTTCTTACCGAGACAGCATCAGCTATTTTGGCGGAACAAAGTCCGAAGAAGTAAGTGCTGTATATTTATACATAGGCCTTATTCAAATCAAGTTTATGTCGCTGTCGGTTGCTGGCAATACACGGCTACATTATAAATCCGTTTCTTTATACCTTGATTTATGCTTAACGTATTTCAAAATACTGATCTGTGTATTTCATATTATCCAATCAATGAAGTCGCATCGCGTTAGGAAACACCTTGTTTCCATAGTGCCATTTCGTAAATTGATTGAATTTCCATTTCGTTCAACGATTACGAGCACTAACAAACTGCTTTACTTTGAGACCTTCCTATGTAGAAATTATCAACACCACAGAAGACTGGGTTGTACGATGAATTTAATTACTGAACAATATCTCTTATTACATGTCAGCATGTCAGTAAAACTTATAAATGTGTGTATTGTGTTTCCACTAAATCCAATCAGCATCACTGTTAATCAAAAGTATTTAGTTATGGCTAAAAGGGAGTCACAAGAGAACAATTCCCTCTTAAATAATTAGATCAAGATGCAACTGAAAACAAACTACAATTTTGTAACCTACAGACGTTTCCTATGAAACAAATCATTCTGATGTTTGAAAAAGTACTTTTTTATTTGAAGTATTCACTCGTAATCCAAATTCCACTGGGAACTTGTTAAGCAGAAGTCAAACAATTGGAATCGTCAGAAGTGCCTGGTTCATGGACATTTTTCTTCACTTTTTTAAACCTCTTTTATCCTTTTTGATTTATTGCAGCGAACTCAGAGCTCAGTGTCTGTGTTTAAAATATAAAGTCTTAAAAAGTTAGAGTAGGTTGCATTCCAGAATTTAGAATAGATCCATCCCTAGTTTACTCATTGTCCGCAATCATTTGGAGTTGTTTAGAAAAATAATGTTGAGTGATATTTTTTAGATTAGCATTCTGTAGTAGCTTTGTACTGTTAGGAACAGTCAGAGAAACTTGGGAAATTGTTTTCGAGGAAATTAGTTTGCTTATTTTTGTTGCTTATTTATCGGACAGCTGATCCATGGTGTTTTTATTTAGCTCTGGTTGTAAGTTATTCTTTGACTCCCCAGTTTTTTCCGTATTTTTTACTATTCAGAAATTGTCTAATAAAGTAATGGCTGTGTTATTCAACTTTTTTCCAAGAATAGCTTAGTTATGTACACACTACAATTTGCTACACATGTCTTATGGTTTTACATTTTATACGTATAATCATGTAAGTTTTTGAATTTGAATATTAAAATGTGTTCCAGTCATTTAGATGGTCTTCTCAATAATCTGATTGGTGGATTGGGAACGGGTGAGCTTTGTACGGGACTGTCGACCGTTAACATATGCCCCAACTATGTTAGTGGACTTGATGTTATTCGCGTGGGTGAAATCCCATTATTTAATGGTTTATATTACCTTATAAACTAGATTTCTTGGCTGTGGCTGCCAGTGGTATAATTACTCAGCGGATACAAAAACTTCAATGAAAGCGTTATTACAGCCAAACTGTACAATATATTTTACAACCGATGATCCTAAAGGAAGATAATGAAAGCAGTCTGCCTAAATCCGCATCTATGTACACCAATCACCTCAACTGCTTCCTCAAAACTAGTTATTATTGTGACACATCTGACCAAACTAGACCTTTCTATTCAAATAAAACTTATGCAACCACACTGACTAGTTTGGTCATCATTGTGGCTTATGATTTTGTTTAACCTTTTGTTCAAAGATTTCTAGTATTTTGGAAATTATCTGTTATCCCTCCTGTTGAATTACACTTGTTACCTCGTTTTTCTTTACATAACTTTGAATGATATTCGTCTAGTTTTTCGTACAGAACTATGATTAATATACAACTTCTTAACGATAATTCATAACTGTTTCACTGGTTTATTTTTATAACAACTCATTTATTAAGTAATACATTTGAATAGTACATCAAACCTGTTTATCTTTCATCTCCAATGAATTCCTTAATTCGTTCTTAATTATTTTCATAGATACTTCTGAATTTCTAATACTTTTAACCAACTCACCATCACTTGATTAGTACCAATGGATTAGTGTTGAGCTGTGAGGAAAAGCTAATTGAGAAAGATATTTCTTTTTTCCGTCCATTGTTTTTTAGTGTTTAGACGGTAGTTTTGATTATACTAAAATCCTACTACTTAGTGCGTAGATGATGAGTCATACATACCTCAGGGTTACTATTCTCTGTATCATATATTAATGGCTGAACTTTCTCAAATCTTTTTCTCTACAGAATACTAGAAGTCCGCAATCGTCTTTATGAATTATTATGTCATTGTATTCCGCCCAACATTATCATGAGAGTAAGTTTTTGTTAAGATTAAATGATTTATTCCTGAATTCGCTTATGGAATTAAACTTTCTTATGACCCAAGTATTTGAAAGTTAACCAAAACCAAAGATGACTCGTATTTTTGAAAGGGTTCTGGGACAAATCTTAAAATGCAAACATAACAACTTGATCCTACCATACCCACTATTGAAAAAAACATTGAAGCAAACGTCAAACTGGACATAACATCAGTTTTTTGAAGATTATCTGTATGGAAAATTTGAACTACTAATGTGTTTATGAGGATAGATATTTTTGTGGATCTGTTTGAGTCGGGAAACACTACAACGCTAAAGTTACAAGTAGCATTAATGGCTACTGAAATTTATTTAAGTAGTAAAGTTTCAAAAGTAAACTTTATGTGTTGTGTTTGTCAAAATGAACTCGTATTGTTTGCGATTTTAATATGTCCTGTGGGAAGTGTAGTTTGAAGGGTGTTGTTTTAAAACGTCGTTATGATCAGAGATGATGGGATTGACCAACGGTTATATGTATCAGGAAATATAAATACGAAGTTTATGACCTTGGGTAGTGGTGTTATAAGGTAGTAAATCTGGTAACTGGGTATCATTAACAGTAAAATAATAATATGTTCACTATCTATGTAAAGAGTAAACTGAACCAGAACTTTTACATCACCCGAATTATCGATCTTCAATTAATGGTTTTCACTGTTGCACAAGCTTCTACAAAAAATAGTTATTGTTCTGTCCACAAATAACTTCAATAGTTAAAACCTTTATGAATTTGTTTTATATGAAGGTCTGATTTTTTTTCTAAAAATGTCTCTTATTTATGAATTACTAGTTTACAGTGTACTTTGTTGAAGCACATTGTTCATTTGAGCTGCATAAACCGGAGTGAGGGAAGTGGGTCTCGAACCTGCGATCACTTATTTGTTGAAATCCGAGTGTTCTAACCACAAAACCACATCTCACAATTAATTTTTGTATTTTGATACAGCATTTCCTTACGATCACATATACCTTGTTCAGTGATTTGACATGACAAAGATGAGCAATTTTTCTGGTATAACTGTTCTCTTTATCTCAGTTTTGATTACTGAAATGTTCCGTCAAACTCAAGTCAGTATTCCTAGACACTTTCTATCAAACAGTTGAAGTTTTCTGATATTTTATCTGGGACTCAGACTTAACTTCCCTCATCTATTTAGTTAAACTTCGATAAATTTCATTTGAGATTAATATTCATGTTACTCATGTATATACTCAATATACCAAAGGTTATACGTAATAAGGCTACTGGTATCAGTTTATTATTTTGACAAACTCGTATTTTACTTCGTTTCTGTAGTCATATGTTTAACCGTGTAATGAGCTGTTGATAACACATTTTATATGAAACTAACTATCCCAAAAGATTACGTTTGGAGACGGACACAGTGATTGTGGACCCGGAGTTTATCGATTGAATCGAATGGTTAAAGCTGTTATCCATTAATTGATGTTCTTAGAAATATTTTCCTACGAATCGCTCATTTAAGCTGTTTTGTCAAATAAGTGGGTTATTTCGTTTTATTATATTCATATCTCGATTCATATGTGCATCGGTGAGTAATGTGGTAGGCATATCAGTTAGTGAGCTGATAATTTTATTTTTCTGTGTCTCGTTAAGTCAGTATAATTAAAATCCTTGAAGTAAATTAATCTTTAGGCAATATTGTTTTTTTTCAAGAACATAGGTTTTTGGTTAAGTATTATGATCATTTCATTCATACATGTTTATATGTTAATGACTTTCTAATTTGATTAGATCAAAAGTATTTTGGAGTAATCATAAAAATGAATGTGAGAAGTATGCTAAATAAAATAATGGAGATCTTGATGATACTACCGATAATGATATCTAGTTTATTTCTTACGAATATTTTTAAGGTTTACATTCCTTTTTTTAAATTACTATTATTATTCATTGATGTCAAAGAAGATGAAAATGAGATTGTTCTGTACTACGTGTATGGGTAAGAAGTAATTTGGGCAAGAAACATATTAGGAATAAAAATGTTATATTAGAGCGGTTTGAGCACTTAACTTCCAACTATCCGATCGTTAGTTCGAAACGCGTTTTGCCCATGTTGGTTTCAGCAACTGAATAATACTCTCACTCAAAACAGCTTAGAACAATACACAATGGTAATCTTATTTTTAAAGTTAACTTCGTACGTTCGCTTCTATGAGAAAAAGGTACTTCATACATTTTTATTCTTTTATTTATTAGGGTCTGGTTGACAATCTATTAAATTCATGTGATCGTAATTTAAAACTGGAATTGGTTCAACTGGGTGCGGAATATGAACATCGATTGAATTTAGGCCAGAAACCGATTTTTCATTTGGAAGCCTTTGTAATTGCATTTATGGCGATCTACAAACGATATATAGAAGATGCTCTAGGCTCTGGGATGGAATGGTAGCATTAACATAAAACAAATATTAAATTCTCAAGATGTATTATGTATATTTATTACGAGTTATGTTGATAAATAAAAGTTTCTTTTGTAAATATTGTTTAGTTAAATGACAGGTCATTATTTTACATGGGTATTCCGGTTTGTATTGTTTATTCTTTTATTTGGGAATGGAGAGAATAACATGTATTTATTCGCATTAAAGCTTAGTGGTAGAGGTGAGAACAAGTTCTTGTCATAGTTGTTAACTAATATTGTGCTGGTTGATTAATTGCATTATGACTATTCTAAATGTTATCAACGCATTAAGACAACGTTACCTGCAAAATTTCATCGATGATACAGTTAAGACGTTTTGTGATATCAGATGAACACAATCCTGTTTCTCGTTTATAATAATCCAGTGCGGAGGTTGTATTGCTATCAATGTAGATAGCGTGCTTCCATACAAAGTATTAAAGATAATATTAAGAAGTGTTTGTCGAGTTATATTTCTAAAGAAATTATTTTATGATACAGTCTTATTTAATAGACTGAAGTTAGTCCTTATATCGAAAGATATAATCTCTGACCTGAAGTATTTATGATGTATTTATTCATTGGTTGTGGTTGTGTTGTGTGTGTATTTATTTTCATATTACAAAGTACATTTTTCAGGCTTATACTATTGCTGTTAGTACAATTTCTTTGACTATGAGAAAGTGTTTGACAGCGTGGATAGTAGAACCTTATGGAACTTTCTTCGACATTAGTGTACCTGAGAAAATTGCGAACATAATAGGGAATTCTTGTGATCAACTACACTGCAAAGTCGTGAATGTAAGACAGCAGTACAGGTGCATTTCAATTGATGGACAAGCCTTCTTACTCTCACCCTTCCTCTTTATTCTGGTGGTTGACTGAATTACGAAGACTTCCACAACTAAGTGGAAGCTTGGAATGGAATGAACGGCTTGAATGAGTCTAGACGATTTTGACTTCGCAGATGACCTAACTCTTCTATCCCATAAACACAACAAATGCATATTAAGACAACCAATGTAGCACTAGTAGGCCTCAACATACACAAGGGAGTATCCAAGATCTTCAAATACAACACAGAGATCACCAAATAATTAAACTTGATTGAGGAGCTCTGGGGGAGGTGGAAAATCTCAAATATCTGGACAACATCGATGACGTGGAATATCTGATGCAGATGTAATGGCAAGGATTGGCAAAGCAAGGACAGCATTTCTACAACTGAAGAATATATGGAACTCAAAACAACTGTCAAACAACATCAAAGTCAGAATCTTCAATACGAACGTTAAGACAGTTAGTTCTACTCTACGTGGTTGAAACTTGAAGAACTACTACAACCATCATCAAAAATGTACAAGTATTTACAAACGATTGTCTGTGCAAGATACTGAATGTTCGTTGGCCAGATACCATCAGCAACTCATCTAATATAATTTATTCTTACCATTTATTCCGGATCACCTTAACCGGTGGAATTTTTCATATATTTTTGGTTCCTATCTATAAAAAGTTTGGTAATTATTATCTTAGATAAGAAAGTAGTAAGCTACTCGTCAAGAATTTTTATGGTTTGCTTCGACAGTGTGCTTGTAATTTATCATTCAATCAACATGTTTCAAATGTCAGTGATTGATATTGGCCATAGGTGTCCAAGCCTAACACTCGTATACATTTTGCCTCCCAGCTCGTGATTAGCTGTAAATAGCTTTAAGTTTATAATTATTTATCAAACCAATAACTCTAGTCGTTGAATTTAAAGATTAAATTTAGGAAAGCAGGATTTGGCGACTAGTTTACAAAATACTTTTATGTATAAGAGTATAGTTCCAACATTTCAATAAATAACTAAGTGGGGATTACTTATAATGATAACAATAGGTTACATAAATGAGTGAAGTCTTTAAAAGAAGACAAAATAAGTTTACAAAACAATAATTAGTCATCAACAAATAATTATCATGCCATGGAGAGGTTACCCTGTTTACTGTCTTCGGTTTACACGTTGTTTGTGTCACAAGGTATCGATGACAACGAACAATCGCAATAGAGACAAATTCGATAGTATCATTATTGTAAAAGCTATATGTACGTCGAGTTTTTGCATAATGTCATGTGTTTTCTAATAATATTTTCTATTTGACGTAAATGACTCAAATACACAGAAGCCTCTCTTTTTGATCTTTTTTTATACTTGAGTCCACCTTTTTATTTAAATTAGAAAACTCAACTGGAGGTAGGATTAAGCCTTGTGACTTATTTAACTTGGATTGTTTTAGTGGACAGATCATATTGTTTATTGAGATCAGTTTGTTTAAAAGGATATTCCTTGAGAGCGCATCTTTAATATGTTAGCTAGTTTTTAGCGGAACCTTTCTATAAAAAATTTCCATTCATATACCATCATTTCATGGGACTTAGAATCTGTCATTCGCGTTTGTGTAATTAATTATAATTATAAAACTTGTCCAGCGTAGATAAGTCCTGAACTGTTGCTCCTAATTGTCGATCATACATTTGCGTAACTGTCCGAGATATAATTGTCAAGTAATTTTTACTAATGATAACCTAATGGTCATTCTAGGCAAGGTGGATGATAACTTAATTTCAAGAAGTATGACTTGGATAAATCATCCGAAACATCCCTGAGACTTATGTACATGTACTTGTTGCAATGATAGAATAGTTTACTTCCTAATTATTCTCGCGGAGGACACATGACTTGAAAGAACTACAAGCTTTCATTATTGGGACTGAAAGTGATGTCATATACCCCTGTTAACGTTGTATTATATTTACTTTTGTCATTCACAATCGAATTCTAACGGTATAGTAACTTGTTCAGTAATTCATTTTTTTTCACAGTTTCGCTTAATGTTATTGTTATGACTACTAAAATGAACTTGAAACAAGAAAATCTTATATATGCACGATGCAGAGACGAAGACAAATACTGATAGCAGATAAAGACTTCATACAATTATCAAAAAATCTAAAACAAATACTTAATGAATGATCAAAGAATATCATGCATAACTGAAATAGTGGAAATACAATACACGGAGTTAATAAAAAGCGAGACTATATGTTATAATGAATAAATATCTGTTGGGATATTCAGAAAAATTTCCCAAAAATTATTCTGTTAAGTCGAACGCTATCCTTGGACTTGAGATGGTGCTGTCTTCTTATTGGTCAATGTTTATTTCACGTGTCATTTTCCTACTGGTCAATATTGTACAATGTTATTTTCTATTTTATGTTACGATGTGGTCTGCTTGACTGGTATATAAACAGAGTATGTTTGAAATATAATGATCATATCTCAGAGGCTGAGACTTGTGTTCTGGACTCAACTGGCTGAGCTAGACAGGGAAGCGGGGCCAATCACAGCCCTAGGTCGTTCTTGCGTGTTTTCGCGTCTTTGGTCCGGTCGATAATTCGCTGTCCTCTAATCTGCAGTATCACAGTTATAGCAATATCACAATAAAGTAAAATGGACGTTAAACAAAACCTATTTCACACTGAATTAAGAAGTGATCTTGCGTTTTTCACCTCCTAACTCTTTAAATGCTACATCATCATTTCGATGCTGTACACTAGAAAACTTAGAAGCGAAATAGTGAATAAACAAAAAAATGAGTAAAAACAACTAAAATATACCAAATAGGAAGTTTTTCCTCTATTATTGTTTTCTATTTTTTCCCCTACTCATCAAACTAAATTTTTGTTTACGTGATTAAACACTCGTATAGGATTTTCACCGTAAAACACTAACATAGATACATATACATACATATAAGTATATCACAAAAGTTGATTACAATTTCATTACTATGTACGTTTCAATCATAGGGATGAACTAATTTCATCCTATTTATTTGTATTTCATTATTACGTTTATACAAATGCATATGTCTTGAAAATATGCGTGTTTCTAAGTCTAAGAAATTCATTAGGGTTTATTTTGATTTTATATTTGTCAATTTGTAGTTGTTCTTAACAATTTGATTGTTTGCTTGTTCAACGCATACATACATATATTTGTTGTAGTATGACAAGACAAACCCAATGAATTTTTTTTTTCTTTCAAGAAGATTACATATCAGTAATCAAATAATAACAGAATGTCAGCTTTTTCTTTAATACTTGTACTACTTATATACATTTGATTGCACAAGTAAGAGTTTTCTGGTTAAAGAAATACTTATTTCTTTCTGATTTATCATCTTCATCTTCCTTCTTTTTCGCTTCCATCATGATGATTATAATGATGATGATGCTGATGATGATGATGATGATGATTGAGGTTAACTGACTTATATACTTTTTTTTCTACATTATTATTTCATTCAGATTATTTTTACTCTCCAAAAGATTTTCTCTCTTATTTTACTATCATGATTAAATTTGATTGAACATATTAAGATTTTTATTCAACTATGTATATATATATATATGTATATATGTATATCACTAGAGACTTACCAACAATACTTTACATCCAGAATAAGAGAAAAGCAAAAAGAAAAATAAAGATATAGAGGTCCTTTTGATAATTTAATCAAGTGAAATTCTCTTTATTTATTTAATTTATTCAATTGTTCATTCATTTGCAGTAAATTAAGACTGAACTTAACAACAATAACAGAGGAAAAAACAACAACAACAAATACATTGAAGTGATAATAATAAGAGAAAGATAGAATTGAAAAGAATTTGTGGACATATTTATTATCGTGAATTGAGTTGATTGATACAAAGGCTTCATTTTTGTAAAATATTCAGACATCAATAAATAAATAAACACTTTCATTTAAAGAATGAAATAAACAATGAATGAAATATTCATAATATAAACCAGATATGATTATGATTAAATCTTAATTTAATGAAGATTTTTTACAGGGTATATCCTACATTAAATATTGTTTAATTAGGGATTATTAATTATTATATATTATTACTTTGATATTACAGCTTTTGTATTGTTCCTTTATTAATAATTGAATTAAATAATTAATTGTACACGATTCAATATATTGAATAGTTTCATAATGAATTGAGATTT